ATCTCATGTAAACAACGTGGCGCACAGCGTGACGTGAAAAAAGGCACATACCTTTGACGTTGCGTGACGAACTATGTATTCCTTGTCCACACGTAAATGCAAAAAAACTGCGTTTTTAAAAAAAAAACCCTCAGTTTTCTTAATATTTGCTTAATTGTTTACTAAATGTTTGAGGTGTGAAATAAATCGCAATGGAGTTTGAAAACAAAATATGGGTGTGTGGTTGGAGGACGTGTTTGTGCGGGGGGGTGGGTGTTTAGTTGGTGGGGGGGCCCGAACATTTTTCTTGTAAAACAAAGGGGGGCCAGCAAAAAAAAACTTTGGGAACCACTGATATAGTGTAACAATTAGCCATGCAGTGAATGATGCTGGTGGTGGTAATAATGATTATACATGCAGTGTGTCTAACGTTTGACTTCTCTTCTTCCTTTGCCATAGCTGTCCTGCAGAACGTCTTCCCTCAGGCTGAACTGGGAAACTTTCGAGTGGCCTTAAAGAGAGACCAGGAGCAGCAGCTCAATGAACTCACCATGATTGTTACTGGGATCCGACTCTTCAACAAAGCCAACAAGAGGGGTGAAGAGGAGGTTGACATCCATGAACTAAGTACAGTTTTTATGCTTATTTTTCACTTTGCCAGCTTGAGATTGATTGTTAGAAGACCTCTACTATAGATTTAGCTCAGTGACTGTCTCTTTGCTATTTGAAATTCTAAGCAGTCGCATGCAGTTAAAATACTTTTAAAAACATTTGTAGGCCGACCAACAACATTGGCCGACATTTCACCAAAAATGAAATGTCTTCATGAACCAAAAAGTCCAGCTGTTTTCATTTCAAGCCTGTAACACTATAGACCTTGCTCCATAATGGTGGTTTGTGAGTGTTGTACGACTGGGCAGAGGGGAGAACACATCTGCAAAACGCAGTTTCAGTTCAGCAACATCCACTCTGTAAACCTGTGACAATCTCCCCAGTGTGTGTAGCTTTGCCCTGAGGGTTAGAACGTACACATCTTTTTTTTCTTGGTTGGGCTTGGACCTTTTTTGCAGTTGTCTTTAATCAGGTTGACAACTTAAGTGTCCGAGACATGAATGAAGTGCCCTGGTCAGTCAGTATCTCTTTCGATATGCCGACTCTGGAGATGACCTGAAACTGTGTCTACACGACACTCTTTGGTAAAGTGGTGCACAGCAGCATTGCTTCAGGTTATCCTGTTGCATAATCCACCA